TTATTAATATTAGTATGACATTTGGTGAGATTTTACTCTATTTCTAAAGCATATGATGCGGGATCTATTTGTTTGTTTTCAGACCAGTTCCTCATGGAGGTCAATTCTTTATACACTGACAGCTTGGGTGCACCCTGAAACAGGGTTTTATGCTTTGATCATACGATTATACTATCATACTCTCCACAGCTTCAATAAAATTCTTCTAAACCAAACAAGTCCTTGCGTTGAACACCTTAGTGTAAGCTTTGGAGAATCTTATGTGACTGAACATGCTCGATGAATTCATGAAATTCATGAATTCCCAAAGGAAAACACCCACTGATATTTTTAACACAGCAATAGATCACTTGTCCTCACCTCAGGGAGCCAGATAATTGGAAACAAAGTATTCTTTTGCAATTGTAATTTGTAAAGTTTTCATTGGATACATTAATGCAAGTGAAAACATCCTGTAGGATTTATAGTTTGACCAATTAATTTTTATAAGTTACTTAAAAGAACCAAATATTGCATCATTGTGGGATATTTAAATTGGATTCAACCATATCTTACTAAAGGAAGGCTTTGTCAGGTAGCACAGCAGTCAGTCTCAGAAATATTGAGTTTAGGAGGAATCATTTCATTCTATTTTATAGAATGTACCTTGAAATGTTGGTTCCCAAAGCCAAACTTCCCAGTTTGCTGGTTTCCTCATTTTAAGAATAAGTTCCAGGGATTCCTTTGATTGCTTTGATTATTTTAATTACTCTGATTACCTTCTCTTTTGATCGTGCCTTCAGTCATTTTCCCTCCTCCACCAACCCCCAACACCCCCGACAGCCATCCACCCCCACTCCTGTCTTCCAACATCCACCCCCCCGGCCTGCCCTCCACCCCTCTGTGATCCCAACCTACAGCTCGGGTGCAAATGAGCCAATCGAAGTCAATGCCAAAAAGGATATAAAGGATTTCCTTTAAAATCCTGTGAAATGCAATAAAAAAACATTTGTGGCTCAAAATGGAAAATGATACTAATAATATTAATCCTGTGCTTACATTTCATATAGCATCTTACCACATTGTCAAATTCTCAAAGTGTTTCCCAAAATAATAATAATAATAATCATTGCATTTGATAAAGTGCTTTCCATGTCTTCTCAACGTCTCAAAGCGGTTCACAGAATAGACTGTAAAGTGAATTGACCATATATTTGTGGGTGAAACGCGGCAGCCAAATGTGCACAGCAGTGTTCCACAAACAGTCATGGATTGAAAATGACCAATTTATTATTGTTTCATTTTGGAGGGATTATTATTAGGCGTGTGGAGTAAGGAAACTTGCCCAAGGTTTCACCCTGCCTGGAATTGAACCCAGGTCTCTCGCTTGCAAGGCGAGTGCTCTAACCATTGAGCTACAGGACTCCAAAATGTTATTGTAAGGTATAGGGACTGATTATTTTGTTGGCAAAAGGGCAGCCAATTTGTGCACTGAAATGTCCCACAAATAGCCATGAATTGAATGGCCAATTTTAACTGGGGGAGTGTTGACCAAGACACCATGGAGAAACTCCCTTCTCTTTTTGAATAGTGCAATGGGATCTTGAATGTCCACCTTAACAGGCAGACGGGATCTCAGTTTAATGGCTCAACTGGAGGACAATTCATCTGACAATGCAGCACTCTCCCAGCCTAGAATGTGAGCTCAAAGTCCCAACTTGGAGCCCACTACCTTCTGACTCAGATGCAAAAGTGCTGTCAGGCTGAGGCAGGATGACACTTTTCAGAGATATAAATACTTTTATCTGCTAGCAAGGTGATAGGAATTCCTTTTTTTCTTTCACAGCATTTAATAATATCTGCAAGGTTCTGAGGTTTCACAGAATGCTGATAAGTTTCAGGAAATTTACAGCTTATAGTGATAAAAATCAAATGGTGTGTGAATCTATAATTAAAAGCTAAGCAGTGTTAGGGAGATAAATCAGAAATGCATTCAATGGCACAGGGAGGTAAAAAGGAGAACATTAATTAAAAATGAGTAAAATAATAAAAGAATCTCTCAAGCATCAAATAATATATTTAACCTGCTCCAGGTTCTTTCTCAAAGTGAATGTTGTCTGAAATCCTCCATCCTATTACTGACTTGTAACTCACTCCTGTGTTGTACTCCAATGGTCTTGTTTGCTTCTGATTCTGTTCTTCAGCTGTAGAATGTGAGCTTTGGTGCCTGAATCAGATGGTATAGATGTATTTAAGAGGAAGACAAATATATTCATGAGGGAGAAGGGAATAGAACTGTATAGGAGGGATTAAGATGGGATGTATGGATTTCTCAGTCTGGTTTTGATGGGGATGGGATTTCAACATGTGCCAGACACCTGGCTGACCCCAGGTTTCGGGGGTGGGTGGGGGGGTGGGTGGCGGGTGGAGGAAGGAAGGAGGGTGTGGAGACACATGTGGAATATAAACACTGGTTTGACTAAATAATTATATATTCTATGTATCTACGGTATTTGAAATATTTTCAGGAGTGTTTTAGGGAGCCAACCTCAAAGAGCAGAATTCATCCAAACAGAAATCATTTGCAGGGCAATGTGTAAGGTTTGACAATGGACAGAGATACTGGGTTTCCTCTTCAACCATCATCCTCCAACCTCACCCTCCACCCCTCCTGATCCCAATCCCCCACTCAAGTGCAAATCCTTGGGAAAGGCACTATACAAATATAATTTGTTGTTGTTGTTTCATAATGATTAATTAACCTGCACACCATCAAACCTTCAGTCTTTCATTGTTTGCAATCTACCCACGTAAATCAAAGCTTTGTAACTTATACCTGATAATGATTATCACTGCAAATGGCAATGCATGTCGACACTTTAATGAAGTATAAGAAAACAAACAATATCATGTATCAATATATTTGTTTGGATAGTGTTTCACAGTACAGGATTATATTTCTGGTATATCAGGTGTATAATAACTTTTTTAAAATACTGTATCATAAAATGAAGACGTCGATGAACATCACAGTTGAGAATAGATGACAGTTTTGATGGATTAACATTTGTAGTGATTGAAGCAGAACTTCTTAACATGATAGTCTAACTCCTATCATTGTTGTTCACAAAAATGATCCATGATCATGAGAGTGTGTGTTAGGAATATACAGAATAAGGTTCCTGTGGTAGTGTGTATTACGACATGCTGGTTAGATGCTCAGGCACTGCTAAGTGACCTATCTAACAGAGTTGGGATGCCACCACTGAACACACTGAGTTCTGTGGGGGAAAGGAGGGAGGTTGGATATCAACCAGCATTCCTAATCTATATCCAGTGATCTTTGCTGCAAACCTTCAAAAATGGGTGGATTCCTGGTTCGTAATGTTGGGCAAGTTTCCGTACTCCACACGTCTCTTTTTACCTAGCAGTAAGTAGGAACCCGATTGTTAATCGATTGGCAGATCACTTTTCCAAGGGTAATAATACCTTAAAAAATATATAAATTTGGTCACTTAATCCACGACTGTTTGTGGGACACTGCTGCTGTGCGCAATAGGCTGCTGAAGACGTGATAAGTTGCTATATAGTAATATAAATAATTCATGCATTTTTTAGCGCTTTTCATGTCTTCTAGATGTCTCAAAGCGCTTCACAGAATATACTGTAAAATGAATTGACTGTATATTTGGGGCGAAACGTGACAGTCAATTGTGCACAGCAATGTCCCACAAACAGTCACCGATTGAAGCGGCCAATTTATTGTTGTTTTTTTTCTTGAGGGATTATTATTACGCGTGTGGAGTAAGGAAACTTGCCCAAGGTTTCGCCCTGCCGGGAATTGAACCCAGGTCTCTCACTTGCGAGGCGAGTGCTCTAATCCCTGAGCTACAGGTCTCCACTATCATTATCAAATGCAAGGATTATTATCATTAATATATTTTCTTTACAGAATTTCTCCCTCTTATCCTCTCACGATACAGATGGCGACAGCTACTCATTAACTTGTCCCAGTGGCTGTTCTTCATGTGTGAGTCAGGGAAGTGATTGTTGTCAATTGAGATGTGTTTAGCTGCCTCAGCAGCTATGGAAATATTCCAATTCAGCTCGTCTTTACCCAATAAGTAGACCTTGGAGCAGCTTCAGTCAGAGGCAGACACACTAGCAGATTTCGCTCCTCTTATTCCAAGGGATACTGACATGAGTTGTAGCATGCTCCCAACCTCCCTCCCTCCCTCTCTCAAGAAGGTACATCTCAAAACACGTCTCTTTGATCGCTCTCAGTTATCTTTCCCCTCCCTAGCCCCTTGGGTCCGACCCCCAGCTCAGGATGCCCATCTAGCACTGTTAAGCGCTTTGAGATGTCCTTCCAACATGAAAGGTGTTATATAAATGTAAATTGTACTTTATCGTATTGTTCTGATGGAGTCTAACTGTTCAGTGCAGACAAAACAGTCAAATCTCAGGCCCAAGTTCCTACATCAAATTCAGTGTTAACGTAAAAGTTGTTCTGTTGCAGTTGCTTTTAAAATGGCTTATTTAAGAACTTTCCAAAATTCTGCCTAATTGCTATGTTAAGCCGATGACGGTCTTAGCCTTAAGATGTCTCTATGGCTTAAATATGGCTGTGCTTTTAGCCATGTTTCCCCTTCTACCCCCTCTTCAGCTCCCACCCCAGCTCGGATGCCCAGCCAGTAATGTCAAGTCCTCTGAGGCGTGAAATTAACTGAATAGATGTAAGCCGTAAGTGCCATATGATGCATTTACTTGGTGAGTCATGAAGGGTACAGTTTCTACATCCTTAACTTGGATTTGTTAAATCCAAGTTTCACCCACAAAATACACAATCAATCCACTTTACAGTATATCCTGTGAAGCGCTTTGAGACATCTCGATGATATGATGAGGCGCAATATCAAATGCAAGGTTATTAATCTCTCAGATGCTCTTTTCTGTTTGCACCAATTCACTTCTCTTGGGTTTACTCATCATTCAGTAACAGATTGACCATGTATTTACAGAGCACAGAAGAGGTCTCTGAGGCAAATGACACAGATCCAGCAGCACTATTGGGCATGGAACCTTATCTTGTTCGAAGACTTTCCTTTCGGGCTCTACAGCTTCCACCATTAGCCTTCAGACTGGCTGAACAATTTGACTGGGAAAAAAACTCAGACACAGAGCACATACCAAGGCCAACTACGCTTGCTCTGAAAGCTCCCCCTCTAATTGCCATCACTGCAGCAGACACCTCAAGGTAAGTGAAATTGAACAGTTCTTTAGTTACCTATTGTAGCCGGTTCCTCAGGCCTTACTGTACTTTTCACAGCAAGATCCCAAGTGGAAGAAGTGGTGCCATGCATCATTAAGAAAAGGTTCTTGTGTTTAATATCAAGATCCTACTTTGGGTGTATACAGTGAAAGCCAAGGTAGATGTTTATAGGCCCCTGGCATACTTATTTACTGGCTGTGTGAGTTGACATTATGTTCAGGTTTTTATAATCCTGCTTCAGTTAATTTGCAGGGGACGTAAAACATCCCTGAGTAGAGGAACAATGCGAAAACACTTTTATTCATAACCATTAGGATGAATGCACTATGATTTGTCCAATCTTTGTCATACTTTGACTACAATAAAATTAAGATCATCATTGTCGATTCCTGAGAAGCTTTCAAATGGTGGGCACAGGAATAGAAGCAATTTTGAGATATTAATGCTTGTGTTACCTGGAACAGGATCCATTGTTGTATTGAAAAGCTATACAGACAACAATCTTTATCTGACAGAGCTTCACTGCAGATTATATTTGCAGGCTACTCTTCTTCTGTATTTGACTTTGTAATTTGAAGGAATCTGCATAGTAAGCAGTGATATAAACAAGTATTTAATAATGCTGAAGTTCAGCTCATTACGATGACAAAATTCACTTCTGCCTTCTAGAAATGATCCAGTCAGCACATTTCTAATTGTAATTCTGAAGGGAATCCTGAAGTGTATACTTTGGAGTGGGTGGAATTTAATGATGTAACATCCTTGAGTTGGTGCCAATGAAGAGGCTTAAAGCATAAGACACTTCGCAATTTTTTAAAAAACTATGGACTTTTACCAGTTTTGCATTTTGATTAACGTGTGGAAGTTCAGCAGCAGTGTACAGTAGCTTTAATTAAAATGAATATTTTAAAAGGCAGCATTCTCTTGCTATCGCTATAATAAAATGAAATATATTAAGCACTAAGCAAAAGTGAAACCAACATAAATCACTATCATCATATTGGAGGATTTGTTGAATCAGTCTTCTTTGTCAATACTGAAATCACTGTCATATTGAAGCATTTGCTAATTTTATTGAGCTGTCCTACATTATGTCAGAACATATTAGAGAAATAAAAGAATTTTAAAGTTAATTGTAGGGCTGTCTTTTACAGTACTGCCTGTACTTGGAGTATTGATATGTTGTACAGTACCATTCCTTTAGCGTAGTGGTTAGAGCATTCGCCTCGCAAGCGAGAGGACCTGGGTTTGATTCCTGGAAGAGCGAAACCTTAGGCAGCTTTCCTTACTCCACACTCCTGTGCCTACCTAGCAGTAAGTAGGAACCTTGTTATTAATCAATTGGCGGATTGGTTTTTCGGGTGCAATAATCCCTTAAACAAAATGTGGTCACTCAATCCATGATTGTTTGTGGGATACTGCTTTGTGCAATTGGCTTCAGCGTTTTGCCTACAAAATATAGTCAATTCACTTTTAAGTATATTCTTTGAAGCACTTTGAGACGTCTCGAAAACGTGATAAGGTGCTATGTCAAATGCCAGGATTATTATTATTATTATTGTCAAAGGTTAAAGTCATACCAGAGATCAGGGTATCGGCTGCCCGGCTTGTATTTTGGTTAGGACATTGGATATCTAATGGTAGATCTTCAGCATTGTGAAAAATGAATAGAAAAATATTTCCCTTTGAGCTAGCTAATAACAAACAGATGTTAACAGGTATTTATAACTGAAAGAGTTTAGTGTTATACCTCACTGGAGGCCTAAAATTTTAAGATATTAGAACAAATGAGAAATTAAAATAATAATAATCCTTAAAATTGGTCTGATGAATCAAAGTGCTTCACAAGATTTTACTGTCAAGTGTAGTGTCTGATTATTTTGCAGGCAAATACTGCAGCCAATTTGTGCACAGGGAAAATGGTTCCAATTTTGCTAATCTAAATTAATTCCAACATTCAAAAAGGGAGTAAGTGGATATCTTAAGGAATTACTAACCAGTGGTGGAGGAAAAAGCTTAAAAGGTATTTTATGATACTGTATCAACATTCGTCTGAAGAGACCTGAGGTGTTGAAAAGACTAGTTTCAGAAAAAGTGTGTCATGTTTCACAAATCCAATGGAATCTGTTAAGAAGGTAAATCAATCAGCGGATGAGGCATTTCCTGTGGATGCAATCTACTCTACTTGGATTTTTGTAATAGTTAATAAATCCTGCATCTGGCACTTTAAGAGGAAATTAGGGCTCATTGAATTAATCGCAATTTAGCCAACTGGATTGAAAACTGATTTAACAGTTGAAACAGGAGGAGAGAGTGGAGTTGATTTAATGGCATATTCAATATTCATCACACTAGATGATTGAAGTTTGACCCACTTCACTTTGTGGTGCTAATCATGGGCTCCTTTGGTGACCCAGGGTATTGGACATCTGGTTTATGGTTTTCAACTGGGAGTCCTGGATAGCAGGATGCCAGCTGTCCTGAATTGATTTGTTTGGTAAAAATCACACTAACCATCAGATCTGGATTCTAACTCCACATACGTGACTCCACAGATGTCACTGGTGAGGATTGATTCTGGGGATGTGAGGGTGGGGCGAAGGAGGGGATTGGGAGTATTTCCCTTCCAGCACCCTTGTCTTGGCCAACAATCCCCCAAATAAAATTGGTCATTTACTTTGTGGTGGTTGTGGGACAATGCTACAAAATATACTGTCATTAACCTTTATAGTATGTCCTGTGAAGCGCTTTGAGACATCCTCGACATGTGGAAGATACTAAATGTAAGGTTTGCTATTATTATTTGATGTAATAAATATTGAATTGACCACAAAATCCCTTCGTGACCTAGCACCTCCCTATCTTTCTGACCTCCTTTATCCCCACTTCACTACCCATTGCCTCTGTTATGGCCTCCTGCTTGTCCCTCATCCCCTCCACTCCACTATTAGCAGCAACGCTTTTAGTCACTATGCCCCGAAGCTTTGGAATAGAGACTGAAAGCCTGACAGACTTGAAATAAAAATTGACAGTCATAATAATTTGACACCAATTGCCTGTGAAATGCTTTGAGATATTTCAAAATGATAGGGTTTTTTATCAAATGCAAGGATTATTATTTCTTGTTAATATAAATAGTTTTGATTGGTGGAGAACAAGAGTGCAATATCAATGAGCCTGAAATGAGACAGAGGATTCCATATATTTTTTTTACCTCCTACACAACAGTTGGAATAAAATACCATCCCAAATACTTAATGTTCATGTTGATTGGTTTATTTACAGTAGATCTACAGAGCATCGACTTAAGTGGATAATTCAAGGTTATGAGAAAAAGAACAGACATAAATTGATCAAGTGCTGTGTGAAACACAATTTTTCCTGTTCTGGGAGCAAGAAAGTGTCAAATATGCAATGCTATAGGGGGAATAGCATGGTTTGTAATGTCAGATTGATATCCTAGATTTTGTTCAATTACCTTAGGGGGTCATGGAGAAATTTCACATAGTTGTATGTTGGAAATATTATGTCTTAGCAGTCACCTCCCGCAGGAGGTAAAATAAATTGAATGGAATCCATGATAGTACAAATTGTACATGGTCTTTTGAGGGAACAAGCTCAATGCACTGAATGGCTTTATCTCATTAGATTGTTTTAATGTTGTTTTACACTTTATTAAAGTGCACTGATAGATGTATTTCATGATATCTTATGCTCTGGGAGATTGCAATAACTGCATTTGTGACAAAGCAAGAATACCAGTAACAGACTGTACAGAAGAATTAAACATACAGAATGAATCAAGCCATGATGTTCATATGTCCTCTAAACTGTAAAGTGGACCCTTGCTTTTTTCACTAATCATGATATTTTGAGTCAAATGTTTGAGTATTTGGCTGACAGGCTGAAAAAGATACCTGTCAGCCTGGCTCAGTTGGTAGCACTCTTCCCTCTGGTTAAGAAGGTTGTGGGTTCAACACCCCCCCACGCATTCACACTTGAAACTCACAGTCTAAGCTGGTACTCCAGTGCAGTGCTAGGGGGTGAGCTGCATTATTGAAGGCGCCATCCTTTAGATGATTGCCAGTTCAGATGGACATTAAAAGATCCTGTGACACTGTTCGAAAAGAAAAGGGAGTTTCTCCTGGTGTCCTGGTCAACAATTCTGCCAAATAAAATTAGATACCAGGAGAAACTCCCTTTTCTTTTTGTACAGTGCCACATGATCTTAAACATCTACCTGTACAGGCAGGTGGAACTTTGGTTTAATGTCTCATCCGGAAGGCGCTCCAACAATGCAGCTCTCTCCAGCATTATTTTGGAGTGTCAGCTGATATTGTAAGTTCCAAGTCCCAAAGTTGGCAATCTTCTTACCCAGAAGCAAGAGTGCATTTCATATTTTTGTTACCTGTAAACTGTTCCTCTGTATTTAGAGTTTTTGTTTGTTCATACTGTCTCTACCCCATCAAAGGTATCTCTCACCCCACAGCTGTTTTTAATGTTCTGATAAATGGTCATTCCCAAGATGTTAACCTTTCATTCTCCATCAGACTCTGTTTTTCCCATTTCCAAGTTCGAGCATCAAAGCTCTTCTGTGCATAAGGGACCCATCAGCCCCTGTTGTCTGATGTTTTTAAATTAGTTTTTTTTAATGATTCAACTTTCCAGATTATCTGCACTATTATTTTTCTTCTCCAGTTTTCTCCCCTTGTTTCCTCTTCTGAAGGTGTTTGAATTCTTTTTCTTGCTACTGAGGAATGGTTCATGGCAATCAGGTGCCCTCTTGTACCTGATGGGGACAAAAAGCCCATCATGTGCGAGCCTTGATGGTGAATGTTGACAGGTTATTTAACTGGTTGAAATCACAGACGAGTCTATTTCTTTCCAGAACCAACATATCCACATATGCAAAGTGATCTGCAATGGCTAGTTTGCCCCTACTTAACATTGAGCGTTGAGATCAAGT